AAATATAAATTTATTCTTTTCACCCAGAGAAGAAAATTTTATTTGAACCATATATAATTTATTTGAATATTTAAATATTTAATTCAAATTAAATTATTAATTATTTATTTGTTGCAAATAAAAATTTTCATCGTCTCTGAGTTAATTTTTTTCTGTGCATTCCCAGTGAAATTTTCTATATAATTTTAATCCCTTCTTGCAAAATAAATAAATTAGTATCATAATTAAATACAAATTATAATGATAAATAATTCAAAATTTTTTTCTTCTTTTTTTTAATAAAAAGTAGAGAATAAAAATGAGATCTTGCACAATTTTTCCACTCTAACTAGAAACGCATTTTCCTTTTAAGTAGATATTGAATTTCCAAAGAAATCATGAAAGAATATAAGTAAGTTGATCAATTCCTAACTCGTGTAAAAATCTGATTAGAATCGTTAAATCACAGATGCACGTTTTGTAACAAGCTAGTTTTTCTCGATTAAGAAATCATTTTTCCATCATTTCTTCTTTTTGCGCTAACACGCGAATTAATAATAAGAGAAATTTAACAATTACATAAAAAATTTTGTCAGTTAATCACTTTTTTCAATAATTCGAAATTTTTTTTTGTTCTAAAAGCTGCTGGAAAATTTTCCTTTATAAATTTTATTTACAAAAAAAAATGATCCTCAAGATATTAACTTTCAAATGAACTAAATGTAATTTAAAAAAAAAGTTAAATTCAAAAAGAAATAAATTAAATTTTTAAAAAATGAATTAAATTTATTAGAATTTTGCGTCACTCAAAAAAATTATTTATTAATAAATATATCTACAAATAATTATATATAAATAAATAAATTATTTGTGAATAAGTAAATAAATAAAGTTTCTAAATGTTAATATTTTTGCAATAATCAATAATTTATGAAAATACTTTTTAATGAATAATATTTTGTTTACTTGAACGTTCAAAACTTGATCATAAAAAAAACAACCAATTTTAATCCATTCGATTATTTTTAATATTAATTATATTAATTACACTATATTAATAATAATAAACTAGTCATTTCTTCTCATTGCCAACATTACAAAAATAATATTTTACAATTCCATGAATAAAAATTAAAAAACAATTCCTTAGTAAAGTGAAAATAGAATATCGTGCATTTATTTTTATGAAAAATAGTGTTTTTTGGATAGAATTTCAGAAAAATTTTCGTGCTAGGTACATGAACATGCAAAAATAAGAAAAAAAATTTTCGATCATTTGAGTCAAATGCTCTGAAATTTCAGAAAGTTAAAAAAATAGTTCTAAAGTGCAAAATACTTATCTATATACATAAAATATGTGTATAAATATATTATTATTTATATTGTTCATATGGTAATTTTTTCGTTAATAATAACAATAATGATTAATATTGTGCATAAAAAAATGAATGTGCAAATGGTTGTTAAATATTTACATTTTTTAATATATTATATACTTGTATATAATTATTTTGTATTTGATTAAATTTTTACAAATAGAAACACAAATGCGAATAAAGGAAGTATATAATAAAAAATGTATATATAATATAGAAAAATGTACAATGTCATTTGGCACGTGCAGATGTCGTGAAGTCGGGGAAATGATTTATATACACAAGGACAATTATTATAACGAATGACAAAATTGACGCTTATGGTTATTTTTTAAAAAGGGGAACACACATCAATTTTATTGGTTAAAATTAAAAGCAATCTTAATATTATAAACTCATATTTCCATATTCCTTGATTTAAAAAAAACAGGAAACAAAAATCCAGTGTTCAGGTATTTGGTTAATAAATAAATAATTTAACAATAAACTTATTTACCGTCTTATATCCAAATTAGTTATTTTAACTAAAGTTTCATAAATTAACAACAACTTAATAATATATTAACAATTAGTTAACTAAATAACATTAATTAACTAATTAATTGTCATAACTTTGAAATAAATAATTACCATAATATAAAATTAAACTATTTCCTTTTAGTTATATTTGTCAAATTATTTATTTATCGGCTCAATTGAAGAATTCGGTGAAATATGGTGCGTGCACTTTTTTTTTTATTCGTGTTATGCGTGAGATCGATTTTAAGTATATTAACGTAAGAACCGGATTTCCGAAGAAGGAAAACCGGCAGGATGCAGGTTGCTTGTATTTTCAAAACGCCCACTATAATAATGAATAATAAAATTATTCCCGCAAGATTCTTTCTTCTTTTCTTTTCAAATTTTAGGTGAAGGTAATTATTGAAATAAACCGCAAACGAATCCAAAAATTATTTTTAAATTCGCATCAATAATGAAAATTACAAGAAAAAAATTTACAATCCGTATATTGAATGAATAAATAAATACAAGAAAAATGAAGAAAAAAAAAGCGAAGAGGCAAAGAAAGAGAGAAAAATAAATAAAATTTTTAAAAAATTGGCGAAATCGGGAAAATTATTTTTAACTTCAATACTAAATTTTAAAGTCTATAAATAAATCACAAACTTCTGAAATAAATGGAAAGTTTACGAATTCTTTTTTGAAGATAAATTTTTTGCTCTGAGAAAAAAATAGAAGATTGAAAAATAAATCATTCTCACGATTAATTATTGTAACTATAATAGTAACCTATATAAATGCGATGATAACTGTATTTATAACTCGGCATCAATGTCACTAAATTGCTTATTTTCTGTTTTAAATTTTAATGAAAAGAGTCAATTGAGAAATAATGACAAATTTCATAATTAATCTCAATAGCTAACTTAAACTATTAAGTCTAAAAGACACTTAATTGTCCGTCATCGAATATTTACTACTACCATAATATATTATCATAATAAATTATCGAAACGAATTATCATAACTATCACAATTAACAAAATTATCCAATAACGTAAAAATTGAAAAAAAACTCAAAATTTTCTGTTACAATTATTTTATTTATTAATCATAATTATCTATCATTAGTCATTATTAGAAAAAAATTCAGAAACTAAATTATTTCTCGAAAAATTTCTAGTTTATTTGCTTGATGCTTAACGGTGTAATAATACAATCATCGAACGGAATATAACCGAACTGTTTCTTAAGACTTTTAACAAGGAGTAACGACCCTTTTCTTCGCGTGAGAAATGCACCTTCCGTGATTGAAACTAACTATGACGGTAATCATTCGATTTCATGATAAATTCGCGTATCTAGTCCACAGTGGTCTTTCGAACAATAGTAAGAATCGCAAGAATAAAAATTGCTTACCATAACTCTTCCGAGAAAATTTAAATTTGCCTCGTCAAATAAAAATCACTCAATTTCTAAACTCATATTTAAATTTTTTTCGAATTTTCTTCTTTTCATATTAAAAAAATTCCTCTTTTTAAATTAACAGTCGCAATCACAAAGTAGGGAAAATATACAAAAAAAAAAAACCGTTGGTCGCTTGATTGGAAATCGGAAGACAAGGAGGTCGAGAAGTTTCAAAATTAAATGCGTGGACTGGTCTTTGCCCACACATAGGGTGCGAAGAAAGTTTTTTTTATTCAAGGTCGACACAATTCAAAGTACTTATATGTATTGAATATATGTTTAAACATTAAAATATTGTGACATCAGTAAAAAAATTTCTATCCTAAATAACACTACATTTTAATTATGTCACGCGAACTTATTGTCTATTACAGAAAATTTAGATTTAGTTTTCTATTTTGCGAGAGTGAGAATTGACAATTAGTTGACACGAAAACTTAAAAATTATGTATGTAAATTATAAGAACCAAAAATTGATTTCCATTGGCAAAGTAGGTTAGTATTTACATTTGATAATTTCCCCCTCGAGGTAGGTAGTACCAAATTGCTAAAAGAGTGAATGAAGAACCGAAAACACGATTTATATGAACAGCAAAATCAGCAAAATTTAAGATTCGAAATTCGATTCCTAACCTCTTCATTCACGTGATTACGAAATATACTCGATTTTACCATTAACACCCCGTTTAGTCGAAATCGAGAATTTTCCTGCAGTAATTATCATTTGCGAAATAACATTTTACCAAATCTATCGAGTGTTTACATTTTTTGCAAAAGGTTATATCGACCTGCAAAAATGACGTTGTAATGTGTGTGTCACGAAGAGGGAATTTTGATGAAGAACAAGCAACGTGCACTACCGGTGGAATTAAACGAATTTATAATCATTATAGATAATTTCATATAGAATAATGTCAGATTACTATCTATAACACGATGATTTCGAAATGACGTTTACTTTTTGCGAGAGTGATTGTTGGGTGTACTCACGTTTTCGTCGATTGCCAGCTTTCAGAATTGCAGGATAACCCGTTGTGATTTGTTCAAAAGAATTTTCTCTCTATAACCGGATCTACACAATGGTTCACTTGGAATAAATTTAGCGGTTCAGGGTGTGCCCCGAATTTCCATGCGAGCAGGTAAAAGCATCCGTGATATCCGTCAAACGCAAACTGCCATTGCCATCTTCCTGTCAGTGTGTTTCACTGTGCGGTGTGATATTAGCCACATAGCGGCAATCGTCGGAAGCTTGCTGCAGAATTTTAAAATTCAGCGCGAATTTTCAAAAACAAATCTAAAGAGAATAGTGTCAATTTTCATAAAAGTACAAAACCGTCAATGAAATATTTTTCCAAACAAATTTTACAAATTCGGTATAAATCGTATAAATCGTACAAATCTCTATTTTGAAAAATACAACCCTAAATTCATAATTCCCGGTTGATCAAGGAACTCTTCAGGAAGGTATCAATTATCATTACATAATATGTTTTTCTAAATTTTCTTTCCAAATTTTCTCCCCTTTTCTTTCAATAATTAAGGAAACATCTTAAATTTTCTCTTTTGTTAAAATTCAAAATATAGAAAAGTGCCAAGAAAAAGTCGATTCGAGTAAAGAAACAAACAAATACCCCAGGGGGATAAAAATAAACACTACAGTCTTGATATTTCGTTGTTCAATGTTTTCAGTATGTGTATCACTTCGAACCTAGCACGTTTCGGATATACTAGCTTTTACTACTGAAAAAAACTTACACAGTGCATGACACGAACTTATGGATCTTTAAATACAGTTAAATTATCAACATTTCACATTATCAGGTACGTAATAATAGTGAATTTAATTGGGAAAAAAAATTTCACACTCGCAAAAAGTATTTTTCACGCGTCATTAATGAAACACAATGCAATTTTATTGGATTTTTATATAGAAAAAACTCACGCTGAACATTCGACCACGTGGGTTTGCATGAACCGAAAAACAAGGTTTAACTACTCCAAAGCCGGAAAAACATCACACTATCAGCTTAGAGAGTTTTTATTATTTCTCAAAAAAAATCAACCCAGTTGAGACGAATTTTTTAAAGAAAAAAAAATCAATTTTTTTAGGTAAGTTTTTCACAATACTCTTCGTTTTTATTACTTTCTCGGCAATAAACGCGTGGGACGTGTGGCGCGACACAAACTCGCATATTTTTCACCTTAAAAATCAATTTTTCATTTATTTTTTTCATTTTTCATGTTTGTAAATTTACTATTACGAAAAAACTTTATAATGTTCTTGTATTTTTTTTTATTTTCATTTTTGTCACGAGGTGGCAAAAGAGGTTAATTTTCCCCACGACGGTGTTTATTTATTTTTTGAATTGAAAAAGTTTTTTAGTTTACTATTTTTTTAAAAGTTTAGATACATTTTTTGTCTTAGCTACTTTCTTGATTTTTCAATTATTTAATTTTTCTAATTTTAACCCATTGTTTTTTTTTGTTATATATTTTGTCTTTTTTTCTCTTTCTTTATTTGTTTTTTTGTATTTCTGTATTTATTTACTAATTTTGAGTAATTTCTTCGTTATGTTCTTTCCGTTACTATTTTGTAATTTCTTTTCTCGATTTCTGTACGTTTTTTCAATTTTTTAATTCGATATTTTCGAAGACAGAAATTAATAACAAAATATCCACATTATCAAAAATTCTGTAAATATTTTATCTTTTTCAGGAAGAATTATGAATTAGAAATTTAAGGAAGTATCAAATTTCCTTTACTTTGAAGATGAAAACATTATTTTAATAAACAAATAAAAAGTTTGTTGAACAAGTAAATTGTGATAATTAAAAAAAAGGAGAACATTTTATGTTGTCTAATTAGACTGCAAGGAAAAATAGTCTGTATTTGGAGGCTGTGAATTAAAAAACAAAAAAAATTTGTTTTATTTAAAAATTATGGCAAACGATGAACCCAAGTCGAAGAAATTTAAACATTCCGTTATTTCGGAGCATATATACGACATTAATTTTCAAGAACAATTTTTCAATAATTGGCACAATTATACGGCTGTGAAAACTGATAATCTCGAAATAATACCAAAACCATTTCGAGTGTGCAAAATTTCCAATTTTTTGAAGAACGATGAACTAATGGATGAGGTAATTGTATTTTTTTTCCTTTAACCTGTTACACTCGTCAGAGAAATAAATTTTCTTTCCTTTCCAGATAAAAAGTGAACTGTGGAACGTAAAAACTCGAAGAAATAGTATTGATCTCTATCAATTTGAGCAATCGAGTGACCTTGCAGATGTAATGAGTAAACATTTAAAAAATCTCTTTGCCACTTTTCAAACTGACTTGTCAACATGGATGAAGCGTAACACGAGAATTGAACTGAACAAGAAAATATCAATTTCCAGTGCCTGTTATTCAGACACGGATTATTTATTATGTCACGACGACAATATGGGCGATCGGAGAATTGCCTTCATTCTCTACCTGTCGAAAAATTGGGAGGCAAGTGACGGCGGTGCTTTGGAACTGTTCGACACCGACGAAAGTGGTTGGCCAAGGAACGTTGTAAGATCCCTTCTTCCCGAATACAATTCCCTACTTTTCTTTGAGGTCACGGAAAATTCATATCATCAAGTAGCCGAGGTTGTGTCGCCCGACAAGAGTCGATGGAGTATAAGCGGATGGTTTCATGGACCGCTCATTGAAAAAGAACGACCAGCGAGGCCAATTTTCGACTCCGATCCAATTGATCCCGAAAATACCGAATACGATCTAAAGCAATGGATACGATTATCATATCTTTCTCCCGAAACAATCAAAGAGATTAACATAAAAGTTGAATACGAATCGTGCGCATTTCTCTCTGAATTTCTCCTATTGGAAATTTATGAAAAGCTCTCCCAAGAAGTCAACAGCGATAATATTAAATGGAAAAAAGTCGGACCGGCCGATCAACGAAATTATGAAATCGCCGACGAGGAGACATTACCTGAAACATTGAAAAAATTTTACAAACTTTTTAAATCACTCGCAATGTTTCAGATGCTGAAGAAATTCACCGATTTAGATTTGGTGCCACTTAAGGAGACAATGAAACCGAAAATGCGAATTGAATTACAAAGGTGGAATATTGGTTGCTATACTTTATTATCTGATAATGAAGTCTATGACAATTCTGCCAGTACTGATAAAAAATCTGTGATAAATAATGATGATCGTCAACAAAATGTTTTATTGAGACCAAATAATTGCCTTGGTGAAACGATAAATACACCGCCCAGTAGTGAGGACGATGTGACGAATGATGAAATTTTAAATAACACAAATAATCCAAATATTGCATCAAGTGCAATGAATGATGATGAATCTGATTCAGGCGAAGCCGATATTGAGGAAAATGAAGACGAGGAAATGAGACGAAGAATTTTAAATCGAAAACCAAAAACATCAAAGAGAGTGAAATTGCCCCTATCTGATTTTGAAATGAAACGTGGCACCGATTCAGAGGAATCTGATATTGACGATTATTTATCAGATCCAAAAGAATATGACGAGGAACAAGAGAACGATAATGACAACGAGATTCTTGGCGGGAGTTTAGATGTGATATTACAATTCCATACAAATAATGTTCCGGAAAATTTGTCTATAGATTATGTATGTCCACGTGAGGAAAGCACATTAATTCACGTGCCTGCTAAAGATAATTATTTATGTTTGGCCTATAAGATAAATGATACTTGCAGGGTTCACAATTACGTTAATCATTATTGCAAGGGATTTTTCTATAATTTGTTATGTACCTATTATGAGTAAAAAAAAATTGGAAACCTCTTTGAGCCTATTTTCGCTCATTTTCTGATTGACTGATATGTTTAAGGACATACTTGCGGAACGATATTTTTTCTTTTCTAATTTTTTTTAGAAACTTTTTTTTGTACAGTTCTGTAAAGTTCAAAAAAAAAAAAATTGTGTAGCAAAAAAAAAAAGAATCCAAGCTTTTGTCAAATCCGTGGAATGTTTGTCGTGCGATTGGAATGTAATATATTATTTGTATTAATAAATTCATCAGTATTTATGATCCGTTTATAACTCTTGTCGCATTATTTTTTTGTTGTAAATAAATCATTCTCAAGGCACATGCAAAGAGTTCTAGAAATTCATCATTGTGGATAATAATAATTAATAAGTATTAAAATTACCAATTGGTTGTGAATATCTGGGACATTGAAGCAAATGCTAAAAAAGGGAGATTTAAAATTTCAAGATGCAAAATGAGAAATTATTATAGAATTTAGAAAAAAAGCTTACGTTCTTAAAGTGGAGGAAACACGATTTCTTTCGAGCGATTGTACTTCAATTGTCGGATGAACCAAAATTTGAGCCTTTATGATATTTTTCGTAGTCTCCTAAAAAAGTAGATTTATAATTTTTCTTTTTTCTAGTAGAATAAAAAGAAGACAAAAATCTAATTTTCTGAGTGATAAAAATTGTTGGTTAATCGGAAAAATGAGGTCTTAATAATTTTGAAATATTATTTACAGTTTTTGGTTTCGATGGGGAAACACCAATAATTTTCTTCTTCAATTCATTAATCTCTAATTCCTGTTGGAAGCTGACATCAATTTCTTGAGATTCATCTCTTTTGGGACTATTGATTGAATCCGTGGCGTACTCTACTTGAACCCAAGGACAAATTGTTGGTGACGATGGTAATGAAACTTTACTTCCAGGCCGTGATAAACGTGGTGATAGGCGTTTTAATAAAGATACAATTTTTGATCTGAAAAAAGAGAAATTAGGAAAAATTTTCCATTCAGTTTTATTAATTTTAAAATCAAAGAATTCGGCTTATTTTTACAATTTTTAATCAAAAACGTCGCAATTGAAGAAAATTGAAAAAAATTCTGTAATTCAATAAGGAGAAAAATTAATTTTTCAATAAACTAATTAAAATTGAATAAAAATAAAATAACACTTTTAATTTTTTTTTAAATAATTAAAATAGAGAAAATTGAAATGAACGTACTTTGTGCTTGACGCTGACAAATTGGATGTTATTGGTGCACTTTTTGAGAGTTGTTCAGTACTTCTTGAACCATCACGCCAGTTTAATTTGTCAGAACTTGCATTTACTGTTCTACCAACTCTCCAATCTAAACTATTACTATGACGTCCTTGCATGCCTAAAGAACAGAAATTTTTTACTCCAAAAAATTTCTTTTCAGTATTTAAAAAAAAATATTTCCATAAAATTAAAAAAAAAATGAAAAAAAAACTTAGTCTGAAAACAATTTTAATTTTCCGAATTCGATAATTTTTTTCTTCACGAATTAAACTAAGCAGGGTTGTCACAGGTCAGGGAAAGTAAAATTGTTCAGGGAAATTAGTGAAAAGTCAGGAATTTTTATTAAAAGTACTGGAAAAAATTGAATTTTCAAAATTCATGAAGAAACTCTGAATTTTGATGTTTTTTTTGTTTGCCTCACAAACTATGAATTTACCACGAATTTTAATACAAAACCTTCATTTTTTTCTATTTCTGACAATAATTTCTTTTTAAATAACTTAACTTTTCAAAAATTATGACTTATAAATTATTTAATGAATAATTCAATTATGTTCAAAAATTTTTTAAAAATTCTCGTTAAAATTTCAATTGTCTTTATAAATAATAAAATTCTTCATCGAAATTCAATTATTTTTAAAAATTTTAATAAAATTCGTTGCAAGAATTCAATTATTTATATAAATAAATTGGCTGATAAAATTCTTTATGAGAATTCAATTTTAACAAACATTCAATTACATATTCAATTCTGTCTGGAAATCAGGGAAAAGTCAGGAAAAAATAAAATTAAATATTTGTGGCAACCCTGCTAAGGAAAAGGAGAATTATACGGAGAACGAAATTTTCTTTGTTATCAAACCGTCGAAAATTTACCTGCTTCCTCAACCTGATTGATTTTCCAGTCCGAGGAAGTATTATTTCTATTGACATTATAAATGTTATCACAGGATTTGGTTTCAAGGCAAGTCGCTTGATGACGACGTCTTAGCAGTCTTGATACTGGTCCCATATTTCTAAAAAAAGAAAAGAAAAAAAAATTCCTTTTATTCCTATTTGTGAATTTTAGCAATTTTTCTCTTGCTTTATTTTACTTTTGATGTGTGACGGCATAATAATAAGAAGAGAACCATTCGAATTGTATACGCGAGGAATATTATAGAAATGTCCTCAATTTGAGCCATTCATTTCCAATACTATTAGGATTTCCATTTTTCTCATCCTTATATGGCTTTATTGTGAAAAACTTTTCTCATTGATTTTTTTTTTCGTTAAATGAAAACACACATCGAGAATAGTTTATTTCACAGGGAAATTCTATTTTCATTCTATACAATATTATTCAAAGGAAAATTTAATTTTAAAGATTATATAGAGAATAAAAAAATTACTTGTAGAAAATAAAGGTCATCAGTGTTTTAAAAAAATCGATGTATTTATTTTTAATCAATTCGAAACTTTAATTTCAGTCTAGAAAATTTTTTACTCATTTTTTTCTATGAAATATATTTTGACTTTTTTTATATTTTATATAAAAATAATTATCATGTTTGAATTATTTTTTTGAAATTGTGTAAAAAATTGTTGATTAGTAAATATTTTTTATACTAAAAAAGTTTGCCTCGAAAATAGAGAATTGGAAAAAGTGGAAATCCATTAATAACTTACTTTTTATACTTGCGCGTCTGCTCTATTGGCGGTTTATTTTCGCAAACAATTTTCTCTTCCGGTTCCATACAAAACATTCCAATTCGCACGTGACTATAAGCCGCTCTCAATTGAACTCCATCCAATGGACGAAAATTTGCCCGCTCAATTGACGAGACGCGAACAATTTCAATTTTTGGTCGACCTTCCATTTTCTTCATTTACTTTCAATATTTTTTCTCTTGTTTCCTCTTTTCTTTCTCACTTCCTTTTCATTTTCTCTATATTCAATAACTATTTTTTCTTCTAGAATTATTGAAATATCACTAATTCTATTTTTTGTATTTTTCGCTTTTGTTCATAATTCGGAATATTTTTCAATAGAAAAAAATGTTCTCTAAATGATATATTTAGAAAAAGTTTCTAAACGTTTCTATCGTTAAAAAAATGAGAATATTTCTTTTCTTAACATTCAAATGACTTTAGTATTAATTAACGGTTTGTCATTTGAAAATAAGAATTAATGAATGAAAATTTGATTTGCACGTTTGTTTTCTTTTTCTTCTTTCTTGAGTTGCAATTGAAGAAAAATGGAGCACTCACTTTCGATGGATATTCGAAAAACTTGATTGTATGTTTGTAAAAAAGTGATATTTATCTCACTTGAAAACTATGTTCAGCACTTATTGTTAGTCGTGTGTTACACTGAATGTAACAAACTACCGTGACCATAGAACGCATGAGCTTCTTGCTTGACATTTCTATTATGTTAGACATTTCCAGTGCAACTGGAATTCTGAAGGCCAAGATTTTCTTGCAACTTCAATATTTTTATTCTTCCTTGAAAAACGCTTCGTATAAACTCTTCTTCTTATTTTTCCTCTGTTTTATAAAACACCGAAAAATTTCATTTTGCCCGCCAAAAAAGATTCTATCAAAATTTTCTCCTATTTCTTCATAATTCTGAAAAAAATTGTAGCAATTATGTTTAGTTAATTAAAATTTGAATTCAGAAAAAAAATCGAAAAATAGTAACAAAGACGGAATTAAAAAAAATGTTCTGTAATCTAAAACAATAATTTAAAATAATTATCCTATTATTATAATAAATAATAAGCAAAGGTATAAAGAGATTTTAAGTGGTCGTTATTGATGCATTCTTTCATATAATTCGCTGACGTAGATCAGAGACATTTAGTCATCAAGCAATTATAATTTCCTCCTCTTTAGTGCACATTAATGTTTATGAACCTCAGTTTCAATAAGAGATTCCAATAAAAAAGGGAACTAAATTTTCTCGAATAAAAAAAAATAATTTCAGAAAAGAAAATTCTAAAAAGTTAGATAGGTATTTTCAATTTTTTAAATTCAAGACAGTTAAAAAATTTGTTTGTACACAAACAAAACAAATAAATTCGAAACTATTAGAAAAAATCCGAAAAAATAAAAATGTAGAACAAAAATAAAAAAGTTGAGAAGAAATTTTTTATGGAACTTTATGAAACTTTATAGAAAGAAATGAAAAACTTTTTCGTAACACTTGTCAATGATAATAATACAGAAAAATAAAATTGATAATCGCTTGAAATCTCATTTCGAATCGTAAACTTGTGAGTCGATTCTCTTTTTTCGTCTGTGTATACAGTATACACATCAATGATTTTTTAGAACAGTAAGGAAAAAAAATTAGAAATTAGCCATACCTATATATGTGACCTATAGTGTTTTACGCTTCGCTGAACATTGCCAGTTCAAGACGCCCGCGACGGATATGTAACAAGCGCGAATGCACAACTTATAGATGCGCAGCGAATGTTCACTGACAATGAATAATCGTCGGAGAGCTTTTTTTATCCGAGCCGTTATCTCGTTACAATCAATGACTTTTTCCATCGACACATTGCCAGCGAGAGAGAGAGATACAGGTCAAATCTATATGTATATTACAAAAATAAGTCCTCTCCCTTTTTAAAAATTCATTCTTCACTTTTCGAGGAGAAAAAAAAAATTCCTTCTTTTCAAAATCGACGTCTCTTCTTTTATATATATCCGTGACTGAGAGAATCCGGACCTTTCTCAACAATTTTCTACTTGTCTCATTTACGTTTCAGTGAAAAATCGTTCTTTCCTTCCGCAACTCTTGATTTCAAATATTTTTTCCTCTTTTCGATAAACGAAATAAATGTTCAGACAAATATTGAACCTAAAAAAAAGAAAGAAAATTTAAAAACAAATAATTTTAAAGAAAATATTTAATATTAGGCTAAATTCGATAATATGAAAATTTAATTAAATTTAAAATTAAAATTTCCCAAAATCGAGTGATAAAAAAAAATAATAATTTACTTTTTAAAAAAATATAAACGAGAAAAATTATTAGAGAGGAAAAATTACAAGAGTAACAAATTAAAATTTACTTTTTAAAAATATAAAGGAGAAAAATCATTAGAGATGAAAAATTACAAGAAAAACAAATTAAAATTCACTTTTTAAAAAATATTTACATAATGAAAATGGGAATGTTTAAAATTTCTATTTTGAAAAAAGAAATTAACGTTAACGTTTTTGAACTGAAAATTCGAAAAATTAAATTTTACTAAATAAATCAATAACTGAATGAAATAGAAAATACAAACAGAAAATTAAATTAAAATAATTAAAATTTAAAAACTGCAAAAAATGAAATGAATTAAATGAATACAAATAAAAGAAATAAAAAAAGAATTAAAGAAAATAAATCTAGAATCAAAATTTCAAAAATTCGAAATCCAATGCATTTTTTCGCCCTCAATTTTGATTAAAATTTTTCATTAAGAAAAAGAGTCTACATGTCTACAATCATTTTTGTCATAACTGATAAAAGAATGCCATTCACTTCCGCGTTGTGTAGGAAAATTGTTCGCAGAATATAATATGTCCCGCCCTGAATGGTACAGACCGTACAGACGGAGAAATTTTAAGAGGGAAAGCGAGACTGCAAAAAAGTGTGCGCAAGAAAAAGATAAACAAGAATCTTTACATTTGTCTAAAAAATATTCTTTTTACCGCGTCCTCTTTTTTTTCTTGATGACAATCTCACAAATTTCGATTTTTACAAATAAAATTAATTACTATAATAACATTTTGACAAATTCATTATTAAAAAAAGAAAATTAAAATTAAAATCCGTTTTAATCGTACCGTAACATTTCTGTTTTTTTTCTCTCCCTCTTTTTTTTGTCTGACGCAGGGAATCCCCTGTTCTATCCGCCCGACTTCCAAGTCGCCCTTTTCCTCTACATATAAATATATGGTATATATAAATATTTATATATATATTTCGATCGCGACCTCCTGCGGGATGCTGACGACTGCGGCTTTTCGCTGAAAACATGACTGTGTCCCTTCCATTTCCCGGTGCGAAACACCCAAGCCCCCAGACGTGGGACATGCGCTTTCTGGACGAATATTCCGGAATTCTAGAAACACAAGGTTCGTAGTCATTCATCCCATGCAAAATAAATGGGGTGAACGCACCGTGGACACCGGCATTTTTTTCCAAACACTCTCTCGAAAACCATTTCTTTAAACCTGCGGCAAAGAAAAAAACAATTTTCAAAAATTTTCCCTTAAAATTTCAATTTCAGATATTGATTTTCTTCCTTGCAAAAATATTTATCATTTGCAGATGAAAAATGAAAATATTTTTGCAAGAAAGAAATGACTACAGCCAATTTTCAAAACTTTTCTTTTCAATAGATCAAGAATTATTATTTTATCAAACAGTAAATTTTTCTAACGATATTTTGCAATTTCATTTTTTAAATTCTATTCGTTGGCATTATTTTTGCAAAAACAATTCTCTTGATGAAAATTATTTGTATTATAGAAAAAAAACCTTACAGAGACAATTTTTTCCTATTTTTCAATTTTCTACTTTCAAAACTAACTCTTTTCATGAAAAATGAGAAAAAATTCTCAAATCAAAACAATAGTTTGCATTTTATTTCTCAAATTTCATTCAATGCGATTATTTTTGCAAAAGTAATTTGTAGAGAAATAAAAATTTGAAAAGAAAGCAAAATAAATATCTGTAAAGAAAAAAAACGTTAAGTTAAACAATAAAAAAAATTACAATTTGTCAGAATCTGAAAAATAAATTTTAAAAACTAATTAAAAATTCGTTCCAAAATTAAATTAATTCATTAAAAAACAAATTTCTAATTTGACATAGTACAAAAATAATAAAATTATTATTTTTGTTGCAATAGATAGAAAAGAACTTCGAGATAAAAATTTTTTATCGTTTAGAAAAAACAGAGAATTGAATGTAAACAATAAAAATATAATGAATTAATTTAATTCAAGAATTCAGAGATTGTTGATGTTTTAATTATTTATTTAATATTTGTACACGCCCTCAGCATGCCACATACAATCAATATAATACATTTCAACGCAGCCAAGGTAGAATCAAAATACAAAAAATATATTTATACCTATGTATTCTACATCGATAAATTTGTATCGCGATGTTTTTTCTTCTCATAACGTTTCGATAAAGCTACGAGTATGGTACAAAAAGTATGCGAAATACAATAGGACACAATATGATCCGGCTCGAATCTGGCACGGCTATTTTTTTTTCTTTTGTTTTTCTATTTACTTATTCCACTCTTGCGCCTTCCTCTTTTATATAAGTATAATATGTATAATACAACTTAAAATTTAACTATAAAAAAAAAATTCTCTTTCGAAATTTTACCAATTTTTTTTCTTTTCTTGGTAAAAGTTTCATTGTATTAAAAAAGGAAGATCAAAGCAATATATTAAATTCATAATTGTTCACTTCGAACAATATATGCACTATTTATAAAGAACAATTTTTTATATTTATGAAACAAGGAAAAGAATATTATAAAAAGAATGGCCACGCAAAATAGATTATTTATGTAGAATTATTCAACTAATTCAAGTCTTCGTGAACAATGGAAAACAATAAAGGTAACATATTAATTATGTAATAAAATGAATCAACGAACAATGAAAAAGTAATATTTCAATATTTTCTCAATTTTTAGTTTTCTCTTTAAATTTTACTAAACGTCCTTGTTAATGCCAATAAATTCGAAATATAATGTGAAAATTCCTTCTTTTCTTCGTATTTTCCTTTGTCATTTAATAAAAAAATCAATTTTTGCCAATTGATCAAAAAATCTTTCAGTCAAAAAAATTCTTTACAATTCTTTAGAAAGAACAATATTTTAAATTACAAGAATATTTTACATCTTCTACAAAGAATTTTCTTACAATTTTTTACAATTTTTTAGAAAAGAACAATATCTTAAATTACGAGAAGATTCTTTACCTTTTTCAAGGAATTTTCTTACATTTTTTCTGGAAATTTTATACTAAACATGAATTCAAAATAAAAAAATATTTTTCTTCGCATACAAATAAAAATGCTAAATCTAGTTTTTAGAAAATTTATAAAAATCTCTAAAAGTTTAGGACCAAAAAAGAAATACAAAATGCAATTTTATTTAGTATTTTCTATACTTAGTAATTATTTTACATTTAAAATTTATTGAAAGCAAAATTTCTTTAATTTGCAGAATTGTATAAATTTTGTAAGTAGGTATTATTAATTAATTAATTAATTAATTAATTAATTATGTCTACGAGATATTTTTTTTCTTTCGCAAAAATGCAAAAATGCAAACATATTTTCCATTTTGAATTTTAGTTTAGTAGTGAATTTCCTAATAATACGAATCTTATTGGCATTAAACAAATTTTTTTTAATAATTTTCGAAAAAACTTTTCTTTTCTTCTGAAAAAAAGAAAATTTACTTATATTTTGCTATTACATTATTTTTAACTGTTTAAAAATAAGTGGCTTTATATTTCAGAATGTCTAATAAATGTGAAAAATGCCTAAAAAATAATATTGACTGGAATTAAAACGTAACTACAATATGTAATCTTACGTTAATTATTTATTGAAGTTGTATATAAATGACTGTATTAATTGTCACTAATTAATACTATATTTCAATTAACGCTATTTTTCACTGCTTTATAACTCTTACTTCTTCAAAAAAAAAATAAATAAAAAAAATAATAATAAAAGTACCTCACTCGTACATTGTATATATATTAGTATATATTTTATATTCTATACAAATATATAAATATTAATACAAATATTTATATAAATATATAATATATAAAATATATACAATATATAATAGATATTGTACCAACAAAATAGGACAAAAAGAAAAACAAAACAGGTATAATATATAATTAACATTACTTAAATACCTCGGTTCAATATTTTAACTTCATATTTTTTTTACAACCTTTATTAGTACTCTCTCACATGCACCCTATCGCTCTAACGTAAATTTTTTTACTATTTTAGCATTTATATATATATATATATATATATATATATTTATATATATTATCAAATACATTAGTTTACAAACAACGTGGATTAAATGTCGGCGTCCCACAAAAACGACTCAACAATTTTTCAGAAACTCTCAAAGTTTTTCTTTCCTTTTCTTTTTTTCAAGAATATAAATTCAAAAATTTTCCTTCTTCATAATTTCAGAAATGAAAAACAAAAATTTAAGAGAAATAATTTTTAGTGGGGAAAAATTCTACTAAAATGAAAATTCTTTTTAAAAAAATCTATTTTTAAATGAATATTATAAATACCTATAAATTCAAATTTTTTGTGGACGAAAATAGGGTGAATTTGAATAATAATAATAATTATAATAATAATAATAGTAGTAAATAGAAGAAGAATTATGTAAATTCTTCAAAGTAATTTTTTTTCGCAGGTACGTCGACGATTAAAACAATAAATCTATCTTATTGAGCTACATACATATGTACAAAACCTCTGGCATTGAGGTTAAAAATTTTTTTTCGCGAATTTCTCATAATCCGGAATGTTCACTACTTAATACAAGTTAACAAGATGATACCTACTTTTCTTTTAAGCACTTTTAATTTAAACTCATTTTTTTCTCAGTTATTTGCGGCGAATAATTTGCCACGTAAACGATCGCTAGTTATGCAATTTATATCACACACTGCAAAGACTTTTTTGTGGCACAAAAACACAGTTTCTTTTTTTAATTATAAAAGAAAATTAACAGAAAATGAGAGAAGGAGAAATTAGTAAAGAAACGGCAATATTTCTTCTTTTTGGAAAATATTTTCCTTTGAAATTGAAAAAAATTCTTTTTTAATTCCTTTCATTTTCTATTTTCATAAATTTATTTCTTTGAAATTTTCTTTCCTTCATGCATAAATTCTTAAATATTATATAAGAATTTCTTCTCTGAAATATTTCGAAGAAGAATCTTCAAGGAAGATTTTCTTTGAATAATTTTTTTAAGAATAAGAAAGTTTTAATACAACTAAAAATTCTTCAAACTTGAAATAATTTGTTTTGAAAGAAAAAGAAACTTCTTTAAAAATTCAAAGATGTTTTCTTTTTTCAACTGCAAAGAAATATTCCGATATTTTCAAAGAAGAATTTCTTCAATATCTTCTTTAATTATTTCGAAATAACTTTGTCTGCCAATGATTTGAAATAATAAATTCTTTAGTATTTTTTTTTTCCTTTTAATTTTTTAATTCGAAGGTAAGAAATATTCCAAAAAAATCTCAAAGAAATCGAATGATATTCCAAAAAAAGAAAAATTTAATAAAAAATGTAAAAAGAAAATAATATCAAAACTTCAATTTAAAAAAAGAATACTTTCTAAATACCTTGAAAACGGATTTTTTTTGCAATCCTCTACGGGTCGGCAGGAATTATGATTAAATAGATCTTCATACTGCGCTAAAACTGTTGACCGAAAAAAAGTTAATTCGGTTTTTGAAGAATCTTCTTTGGATTTTCTTGCAGGCCCAGTTTTACAACGATTTCTTCTTCTTCTTCTTCTTCTTCTTCTTCTTCTTCTTCTTCTTCTTCTTCTTCTTCTTCTTCTTCTTCTTCTTCTTCATCTTCTTTTTTTTCTTCTTTTTCTTCTTTCCACACACCATTTGACTATGTACTGTATTTATGTTCTCCGCTTTTGTTTTCTTGTCGACAAAAAAAAAACATGTTTTCAAACGTTTCTTATTGTCAATATTTCAGTGCAGTTGTTGTTTTTAATGGTTTCTCCAAAGCGATTCAAAAAAGTTGGACTATTTTATTCGATTAAAGTCAAACGTTGACTTGTTTATATATATATATATGACACTATTTGTAACCATATTTTGCTTCGTTAAATTCATTCACTATTTAATTAGGTAAATTAGCAGGTAAATGCTAATTAATCAGGCAGATTTAATAATTAGTAGATAAAATACTAATTAGTTGACTAAATAGCTGGTAAATTTACTAATTAGTTGATAAAACACTAATTAGCAGTTATTACTAATTAGTAGGTGAACACTAATTAATATTCACTAATTAGCCGTTAATTCACCAATTAGCAGGTAAATACTAATTAGCCGGATAGTTTTTCTTTTTTTGGAAAACGAAGCTAATATTTTAATGCGCTTTCGGTCACAATTCAATAAAAGCCAGGATATCGATAATCGCTTTAACAGTGGCAATTGAAAATTAAAAAAAAAAGGGGCGGGGGAAATTTCTAATCTAGAAATTTTTATAGAGTTAAGATGTTTTCGGACCATAATCTTCGGCGAACCCTCGCGCTCTCGCGTCCCTACGAATCCCTGAAAATAAAATGGAATATTTAATTATTGGAGAAAATAAAATTTTCAGGATAAATGCATTTTTAAATAGGATATTGAACTAGAACCTTAAAATAACTTTTTCCATAAGCATGGATAAGCGGCTGTCGGAATGATTGGCCGGAAGTAATGCCTTAAGGAGTTCTCTGACGAGAGCTTCGCTCATTCCGGGCGATGTGCGCTCTGCCAATTCGAAAGCTCCTCTTAGTTCATCGATCGCTCCACCATTTCTACTGACAGAATTGCCACTCTCGCCATTATCTCTTGACGAATACTGATGCTTTCTCTGTAGCTGCAAAAATCATTTTTCTCCTCAGTAAATAAATTCTTCTCCTAAATAAATCAATCTTGTAAATTTTCATTTAAATTATAATTATAACTAGCAAATGTTACGCGCACTAGCGCGCGGAACGTGGTATTCCATTTATTATTATTATAAAAATTACAACATTTTTTTTTCAAATATGAATTTCTGAATAATTTCAGATTCAAACCACTTTGAAATTTTCAAAAAATTGAAAAAATTTTTTTTGATTAAAATACTCTTTATGGTTACCAAAATGATATGTCATTAGTTATATATCGATATCTGAAGTAAAAAGACAATTTTCGAACTGTTCAAGCAGGGTCGCGCGCCAACTTTTACATTGTAATGAAAACTTTAAACGCGTTTTTCTCAAAACTGTATTTTTAAAATCGGTGGACACTCTGGATGCCACAAATTTCAATCGATCCTCTTAGTTCTTTTTTTATTTTGTTTGTGATATAATTATCTAGCGAAATACGTACGGATTTTTCAAAATATTAATATTTAAATTTTCTAGACAACTTTAAATAATAAAATTTAGGCAAAAATATGGACTTTTTCCTTCAAATCGATACCATTTTGCGAAAAATAAATTTTTTTTAAAACGGATACGTATTTCGCTAGATTTTGAGCTACAGAAACTAAAGCATTTTTACTTTTTGGTCTAGCTTAATTCTGGACCGAGTTATAGTGTCCACCGTATGGCGATACATTTTTAAAGCACTTTAACATATCATCTGTCAAACCGACAATTTAAAAAAAAAGAAATTTATATATATATAAAAAAAAAAAAATATATATTTGAATATTTGCAAAGAATTGTATTAAAAATTTTGAAATTAAGGGGTTACACCACTTTGACCCGTTCAAAACATAAGCTTTTTCAACAATACTCTTGAACTACTCTTGAACTACAAATATATATATATATATATTTGTAGTTCAAGAGTAGTACAATACCCTACTGTAATTTAATTTTCCTCAAAAAATTTCTATTCTTCAATAAAAATTGTTGAAAAAGCTTATGTTTTGAACGGGTCAAAGTGGTGTAACCCCTTAATTTCAAAATTTTTAATACAATTCTTTGCAAGTATTCAATTATTTTCATAAATAATAACATTCTTCGTAAGGATTTAATTTTCTAAAATTAATTATGTAATTAATTCTTTAATTTCAATTATTAACCAACACGATTTTTTTAAAAACTTGAGAGAAATTTTTCATAAAATTGAATTATTTTCAAAATTTTTAATTAAAATTATTAAAGAAACTCCATTATTTAAAAAAAAAAATTGAAAGAAATTCTTCAAGAGAATTTAATTAGGATTTTCAAAAATTTTAATAAAATTCTTGTCAAGAATTCAATTATTTTCATAAATAATAGAATTCTTCGGAGAAATGCAATTATTCTAAAATTTTTGATAAAATTCTTTGCAAGAATTGAATGATTTTCAATATATTAATTATTTTAAAATTGAAAAAAAATATTTAAAAAGAAAAATTATTAAAAATGTAGGAACCAAAGGAAATTTTGTCTACTTTGATAATTTATTGTCTCTTTTTACTCTATTTCCCCAAAAAAATGATTTATTTAACTAAATAAAATTCTGTAAAACCTTAAAATCAACTATAAAGTGATTTACCAAAATTTGTGAATTCAAAAATAACAATTTATTGTATTTAATGACTTAAGAAAAATTAATAACAAAAAAAATTGACTCCATTTTATTTAAAATTAAAAGACTTAAAAAAAATTAACGACAAAAAATAGAGGAACAATTGACTCGTAATTCGTGTTTTGTTTTTTTCTCTGTAGAAAAATTTGAAGAAATTTTACCTCGGAAAGAAGCGGTGCAATAACAGTTGTTAGAACTCGGGGATGCTTTAAATCCTGAGAACTTCTTGGCCTTTGTTTTTCTTCTCCAGACCGATGGTCAACAAGCGGTACAACAGGCACTTCCGGTTTGCTATTCCTCTTTTCGCGCGTGTTACTCACTCGTTCACCTCGTTCTCGTTCTCTCTCCGCTCCTACATCTCGTTCTCTGCTCTCTCGAACTTCTCTAACTTCTCTGACTTCACGCGTTTCTTTTGGATCCATCTTCAAAACTTGTGACTCTCGAATCTTTCGAATTTCCAAATATTTCTGCAGATCCTCGGGTGGTGGTGGCGCCGCTTCATGAGGCCGCATCTAAATATTTCATTAATTATTTCAAAAATATTAAACTCGAGATTTTTTACTTAAAATTAAAATATTTTTTACTTTAAAATAAAATTTTTTCACCAAAATTAAATTTGAAAAAAAAACAAATACCTATAAATAACGAATGGATTCAAATTTGTATTTGCAAAAACAAATTTTCAGCGCTTTCTCAGTCGTTTTGAATTTTTCACCTTTTTATAAATTATTTTGGAGGAATTACTGTTATTAATTTATTACAATTAATTTATTTCAAATGATTCAACATTTTTAAATAAAAAATAATTTTTCTCTATAATCAGAAATAAAAAAAAATTTCTCCCTTTTCTTGAAAGTAAAGCTATTAATTACCGGCGAGTCTTTAATTTGTCCATCGCGAGAGTCATTTTTATGGTGATTCAATGACGATTCTTTCGGTGGCGACCTAGAAGCTCCATTCACGTGTGGTTTTCCTTGTACATTGTGATTCGAAGATTTATGATTTGATGAATGCGTTAACGAGGCAGTTTGTTCTTCTAATGGCATCATTGGTACCGATGAACCTTTCACGCCATGAGGACCTTTTACCGTCATTATCCAAGGTTCATTCATATCACTATCTTGCTTCGACTCCTCGCTTTAATTAGAAAAGAAAAAAATCAATTTTTTAGTTTCATTCATTTTTCTTATCAAAATAATCGATCAAAATTACATACGACAAATGGGAGGAAAATTCTACAAAATCAAAAAATTAGGTACATTTGGAAAAGTCTACAAAAACAAATATATCGAGAAGAAAATATGTTCAATCATTATCTTGAAGAAAAAATACGTCAAACCTGTTAATTATGTTGAATTGAATGTTTGCTTTTAACAAAAAAAAAATTGTTTTGTTTTTTCTTTTAAAAAATACCGTTTTTCTAAATTGTTTTGTAATATAGTTTAAAAAAAAGTTTTCTTTACAGAAAAAAATTATTTTGTTTTTTGGCAAATTTGCGATTCTTTTTAGGGAAATTATAGGACAATATAAACTATTATAACGTTGATACTCACGAGTCTGAATTCTCACTCTCTGTTTCCGACTCCTCGCTATGTTGCAACTTCCATTTCTTGTACCTGTCAATCAGGTCGATCAGGTACGAGTTCTTCTTTGCTTTTCTGATGAACTGGAACTTAAGTAATTCTTTCGCCGTTGGCCTCTGTGAATTGAACAAATTTTTCCAAAAATGACTAGATTACTTCAATTCTTATTAAGGAATTGAATGAAATTGAATTCTGAAAATTCACTGTCACAATTTTGAAAAATATAGTTTAAACCTCGCTAAAAAAGTTATTCACTCAATTCAATTGAATTTTCAATTTTTTTTACAAAATTTAGGTTCTTTTAAATTGAAATTTACAAATTTTGCCCAATTGAAGAAAGTTAAAATTAAAAATTGAAAAAAACAAATCAGTAATTTTTTCTCGTCCACATTCATTTTTTCCACAAAGTTTGGAATTTAAAATTTGTTTCTAAAATTACTATACAAACATAAATTTTTTCGAAAATCTTCGTATCGAAATAGAAAGAATTAAGTAAATAGAATAAATTAGAAACGTCTGGAATAGAAAATTTCAAGTAGTGGAAAAAATAAGCAAAGAAATAAAAATGAAAATAAGTGGAAAAAATTGGAAAAAAATAATTATTGACAAATGGAACCTACATTTTCAGGATCTTTATTAAGGCAAGCCTCGACGAATTCTTTGAACTGCTTCGTGTATAATCCGGTGAGTTGAGGTGGATTATTTTTCGGTATAAGGAAAAGAACTCTCATGGGATGAAGTTCACTGTTTGGAGGTTCACCTTTCGCTAATTCAATAGCCGTAATACCTAGAGACCAAATGTCAGCCTAAAAAAGAAAAAAGAAATTTAATTTTTATTACAAAAATTAAAATTTAATTCAAAATCAAACTAAAATTAAAATTAAAACTAAAATAAAAAAAAGAGTTTGTTAAAAATTCTTCAGAGCAATTAACGTACGTATCGAGCATAAAAGTATAAAAAAAAATTATTTTCTTTTTGCAGTCACCTTGGAGTCATATGCCGATTGTTTGATAACTTCCGGTGCCATCCAAAACGGTGTGCCAACAACAGTATTTCGTTTGCTTGTCGTATTCGTCAATTGACCAGCAACACCAAAATCTGCCAATTTCACGTCGCCCATTTCACTCAACAAAACGTTGGCCGCTGAAAATTAAAAGTAATAACAAATTAATTAAAATTCAATAATTTACAAATTATAGATTAATAAATTATACGAAATTTAATAAATAATTTTTCTAATTTGCATTCCTACGATAATTGAATAGTAATTGAAAATTATTCCGAAATTTTTTTAAAAATTCATGTCAAAAATTAAGTTTTCTTAAAACTTAATGAATTTTTCAAGACTTGACATTTTAATATTTAATACTAGAGTTCAGTTCTTTAGACAATTCAAGGCAAATGATTTTCACGTCTCATAGATTGCTGATAATAATAAAGACTTTTTTTCTTGTCTTCGTGTAAAAGCATTTCTGAGGTCTACCATGAAAAACAAAATTGCCTCGCAGCTAACATTTCGAAAATGGACGAGAGAGGGAAAAAGAGTTTTTTTCACCATCAATCACATTGCTTCCAAAAATAAAACAAATAAAATAAAATACAAGAATATATTCGAGGCCAGATGTTGATGAATAGACGAATTTTTTTTATTTCTTTCTTCTTATGAAAAAAATGCTCTTAATTTTAACCAGATTTTTGGCAAACTCTGTAAGTTGGTAAAGAGTCAAATGGTATCCTTATGCATCAAGATTTCTCAATTCGCATAATTTTGGCGAATTTTCAAAAGTATTTAACAAAATTTTGAAACTACAATAAAGAATTGTCGAATTTATTTAGTCAATCATTTCTTCTTTTTGACTATTTCATAATTTCTGAACGTTCAAATAAACGAATGTGCCATTATAGAAATATTTTTAAAAATTACTGACCTTTATAAAATTTAAAAACAAAAATAGTCAATTAAGATCTTTCCAATTTTTTTAATACGTGACACAAATTTTTTTGCAATAAAATTTATTTTGAGAAAGGAAGAAATATTTTTCGTTCATTTTATAACGTTCAGAACTTTACTCTCTACATTTTTTTTTGAGTTTTTTATTTCTATTGTAAAAATTCGAGAATTTAATTAACGAATGAGATTAAATAAGCAAAAATTAATATTTAAATTCATTTAATTCATTTCAATTTGAAGAAGAAATAAATATAATGTTTCGGTCATTTGAATGTTCAGAACTTTACTGTCTATTTCTTAAGGAAGTAAAATAGAATAAAACAAAAAAAATAAATTAAATTATAAAAAGAAATAAAACCAAAAAAGAATTGAATTTAATTAAAAAACGAAAATAGTCACCTTTAATATCACGATGCAGCTTTCGTTCGCTGTGAAGATAGTCTAAACCTTTGAGAACTTCCCTCAGAATGACTGCAATGTGCATTTCCTCGAAACTTCCAGCTTTCATCAAGTCCAAGGCGGAACCTCCCCCCAAATATTCCATAATAATCCATAGTTTCGTTTCCTGCAAAAAATAACAGTAATTAAATTAAATGAAAATAATTTTCGCAATATTTCTCTAAAATTCTGGAAATTTTCAATTTCCTCAAATATTTAAAAAATAAATTCGATTCATTTTAGGATTCAAAAATTTAAACTGTTGGTGTGTGTGAATAAATAAAAATGTTAAATATTTATTTATAATTTAAATTAAAAAATTAATTTTCGAAACTTAAAATAGAAAAAAGGAAAAACTTTCATTTGAAATATTCAATGAGGACTCTAATAAAATTTAAAATTCATTCTCGTAAAATTAAAGTTATTCCCTTTTATTTCTCATAAAATAAAGCGTCACGTTCATTTTTTTTCTTTGTGCGAACATAGATATTTATTTTCGTGTATGGGGCTTGTGCATAGGTGGATATAATCTAAGAGCCATTGGGGGTTCATTCAACTGAGACGTATCCCCCCTCTCAAGGTTCTGAAAACTCTTCCCCAAAGTTCTTTCCCCTATACATATATATATATGCTCATAATACGTGTCGTTTTTTCTCTTTCATGTTGCATTTTAACTTTTTCCCTAGAAAATAAAAAAAACCAAAAGGGTATTTTCTCTCTCTCTCAAAAAAAAAGAAAAGAAAAAAAATACCGTGTGCCTAAGTATTCATTCAAACGAAGTCCTGACAGAAGGGTTCGTCTATGAGTTGTCAAGTATAATTCAAGGGCACTCGTGTGCACCTCAAAACTGTTTTAGAATCTCATGTTAAGACAGAAGTGAAAAATGTAAAATTTCCGTCTTCGCAAAAATTCGTTTTTACAATTTTTTTTTCTAAACTATTTCTTGTATAATATTTTTTATTCTTTTTAAATTTGACAAAAACAATTTTCGCCATAAATCATGTGCTGAATTTTCTACATTTTACTTTTCCAGAATTTTTCTTTACACCTTTTGATTAAAAACAGAAAACTAAGAATTTTTGTTATAAAATTCGACCCTTTAAAATTATAAGTAAATAAATAAATAAATAAATAGAAATTAATAAAAAAGCTACACAGTTTAAATGAAAAATAAAAATTTTTGTTTTAAAATTAGCTCGTTTACATTAGAAAAAAAAAATAAATAAAAATTAATAAAAAGCAACACAGTAAAGAATAAAAGACAAGAATAAAAATAGAAAAATAAAAAAATGGTATTTTATATAATTTATAAACACGAGAAATAGTTTGAAGGAGAAAAAAGATCGTTGACTGCCATCACGACACGAAAGTTGAAAACTCGAGAAGGAGAATGAGCGGGCAGATTATAAAAGTTGATTCGCATCTGACAAGAAGGGAAGTGAATTTTTCAATAAGTTTGGAAAGGTGTTCATAAAAGATTCAAACGGTCCAGAGTGCTAACAGGGGTGGAGAAGAGATGACTAAGAGCACTTTAGCTAAAAACTTCTTTAACGACAATCAATCTATCTGCCAATCCATATTAATCATTCTTTATATTATAAAGTCGCTGCGAAAAGTAAGCTTTTTACTTAAAGTCATTTTTCAAAAGAAGAAAAAGTGTGTGAAGAAAAAAATGCTTATTAGTATTACACAAGATGAAATCAATACATCATGATTCATGAACTTTCCAAAAGAGGAAGAAAGTCAAAATTTATAATAATATATTTTTCAAAATTTCCATATTGCAGTGAAAAATTTTATTTAAACCAAATATAATTTATTTGAGTGAAATAAAATTTATAAAAAATCTAGCTCTGAGTCATATATTTGTTCTGAGTATAAAAATACTTTTCTGTCAAAAAAAAAAACATTTCGTTGATGCTTGTGATGCAGTATTTTTCCAATTTAAAATCCAAACTTAGAGTTTCTCTTATCATGGAGTAATTGATATTTATGTAAAAAGAAAAAAACAAGTCTAATACGGAAGTAATTAAATCTATTCTTGGTTTTGCCGGTAAATTATAGGACAACGCCATTAGTAAATTGGTTACAGCTAATAATAGCGGCTCATGGAATTAGCAAATATTATATATACATATCTATAGTAGAAGAAAAGTATAATTGAAAGTAATTTGAAAAGTATATATAAATATACAATACAACTATGCGAAAAGTATATTTGCTAATTAATTTTCTTTTTTCAAAATAAGAGAACTTTAAAACATTTGAAACCACCAATTAACACGAGCAGAAATAATACCTATATTTCAATTAATCAAGCCATTTATGTGCCTGCATAATTATTCAAAACGCATATACAATAAACGATGCACACTTTTCGCTTACATTCTTTTTTTCAGAAACTGGAGGCTTTATATAATGTCCAATTATAATTTTTATTGCAATTAAAAACTTCTCAATTCATAAAACTTGTAATTCAATATTTATTGTCTAATTATATTGCTTCTATATATTTTCACTAATAATAACAATGTACTAACACTGCAACTATCGGAGATAATAATTTAATAATAAATAAAGTAATAATAATATATTTTTTTAGAAAAGTTGTAAAATTATAAAAAAATAATAATAATTTATATTAATAATAATACTATAAGTATCAGGGATAATAATTTAATAGTAAATAATATTAAAAAGTAATAATAATAATAAATAATAATTGAAAATAGATTAAAATGTAGTAAAAAAATGTATAAGTATATTCTCCCTATATCGAGTAACTAGTAGAAATAAACAGTTATAGTCAGACGGAGGCATATTAAAAACTACCAAAGTATGTTACATATATATATATACATATGATTGACTCAAACTACTTAAATATCCTTTATAATTATATTAAAAAAATTTCATTTCATCTTAATTTGTATTATTTATTTATTACTTATTTTAATAATTTAGAAGAGATTTAATGAATTTTTGGCCAAATCATCCAAACGATGTAAATTTTCAAATCATTATTAATTAATAAACTTATTCTTTTATAAGTTTTCTTTTTAATAAAAAATTATAATATAATTGTACACAATATTATATTATATAATCCTGTCTATATATAAATAAATAAAAATTAATTCCCCATATGAAAAAAATATGAAAAAAGAAGAAAAAGATATAAATTATGCAGAAAAAAAATATATTTAAATTACCGAAATAATTTATTTGTACTCTCGCTTATACATATCAGAAATCTTTCATAACATATTATTGTTGTATTAATTAGTCTTTCTTCTGGCCGACTTTAATCGACTCATTATGTATATCAGACAGTAAAAATAATTAAGTTAATCAAATAATGTTACGTAAATAGAAATATTTGATAAATCATCATATCAAGATGCTAATTAATGAAAACAAAATTCGATAATTTCAAAAATTTATACACTGAAAATTATTTATACCTACAAAAAAATCCATAGCAGTAAATAATTTTTTTAATATTCTCCCTGCTGCTAATTATTACTATTATTACTACTACTACTCACAATTATTACTATTAAATATTAATATTAATTTTTAATACCGAGTTATAATAATAATTATTAATAAATATCACGAGGGGAGTGAAAATAATTTATTATTCTTACTATCGAAATGGAATTGATTACCTTTTACACAAGGAAAGGTGAGATATTATTATTTCTATTACTATTTTTTAAATTTTCTAAAGGTGTGTATAATTCACCTACGCATAAACACCACGGCAATTATGAAACAGGAGAATTGTCGCCATTTTTTTCTCCTTTTTTTTAAGGCAAAATACAGAGGCGTCAAGTCTCGTCGTGTGTCATGAAACAAAGATTATAACAACAGACAATGATTTTCTTTTGTTAGGTGGCTTTTATGTTAATCCTTGCCCTCCTTTCCAATGGGCACATCAACCTTTTATTATATTATTATTTTTCACGACTCGTTATGTTACACGTGAGGTTTAACATAACACTGCAATTATCATATTTTCTTTTGCCATTTTATGCAAAAATCTCCCTTTATTCTTAACCAAATATGCACTATGCACAAAATAATTATACACTATATGTATTTTTATTGATTGTTAATTTTTTTATTATGAATTTTCTTAAATTGGAATTTTTAATAATAATACATTTTTACTCTGAGCTATTTTCAAATCGATTCAATTAGTTAAAAAATTATATTCTCTAAATTTACTAATTTACATTTATAGCTTTTATTATAAAATGTAAATATAAAAATAAAATATAAATAAAATTTTTTTCAAATTAATATTATAAATGAAAGAATAACAAAAAATATAAAATGTATTATATTTTGAACAGAAAAGATGTGCAATAAAAATAATTCGATAAACTCTCCTTCTTTGCTGCTTTTAATAATTAAACATTTTCTCGTTAGTTTTTATTAAAGCTAGAATCGAATTTTGTTAATTTAATTAGAAGACTCTTTTGTTGCATCTCAAGTATGAAATCAATAAGCGATTATTTTTAGTGATGTCAAAGTCTCGCACACATTATACGCTTTGTCTGTATTAATTTTCAATAAAACGTACACTGTTAAAAATAGAACTACAACTTTACACCAAAGAGATTGAAACGATGTTTTTTCAATCTCGCACAGTGTGAATGCTAGGCATTACATTGGTATCAAAGTTTTTATTCAAAAATGAATTTAATTTTTGTAAAATATTTTTAGTATCGAAACAAAGGAAATTTAATTTAGGTAAATAAGTTGCCAAATTGAATAGAAATTGCATTAAATTGAATTTTACCTTTCAAAAATGTATTTAAATGAGAAAATGATTGAAAAAAAATTAATATTATAGTTGTCAGAGTTAAATGTTAGAAATATAGAATTGAAAAAGATTTTGAATAATTATTGACATTTTTTATAATCAAATTCTAAATAATATATTTTTTAAGAACAAATCAAGCGGGTGCATGCTTTCTTCCCCAAAACCCAAAACATTCTCAAGATCTTTAATTTGAAACAAAATTTAATTTTGACCAGAATCTTCAAAAATTTTGAAACATAATTTAATTTATCCAAAGAATTAATTACTTTTAAAAATAATTAAAATTCTGCAACCATTTGTAACTTCTGAAAAATTCTCTAAATCATATCGTACAATTTACGGTTTTTTTTTCAAAAAAACTGCCTTTTACAGACTTTAAATAAATTGATGGAGGTTTTTAAAAGAGAACTTTGCATTTCTATTAAAATTTCAATTGCTGCATATTTGTTTTTATATTGTGTTGTCTCATTTATTATTTTATCGTCAGAATATAGTAGTTTTCTCACTTGGGCATATTTATCATTTAGCTGTAATAATAAAACTTGGAAATTCATTTTTTCATCTTTAATCAAAATTTTTTTGAGTAATTTACAATCTTTAAAATAAAATAAATTGAATTATTATTTCAAAATATATTTTATATTTATATTGAAATAAATATTGGTTTACTTCGAAATATATTTAAGTAATAATAAATATTTTTATTATATTAATATAAGTAATATAAAATATAAGTATAAAAAATCACCGAGCTACAAGGAGAGAAAATCCAGAGTCATTGACGAAAAATCCATTGAAGAGAGGGAGATGAAGCGAAAAGAAGAAAGAAGGAAACGTGCAAGAAAAAACAAGAAGAAACGAATTAAATGGGACAGAAAGAAGAGGAGAAAGAAAAATTCTGGAAGACAGAACAGAGTTGAAAAACACAATGAATGTAGAAATTTGTATCCAAATAATAAAAAAATGAGGGACAAATTAATAAACATTAAATCGAAAACGGAACAGAAGTCACGTAATGTTGAACTGAGGAAAATTGTCTACGACGCAAGGAAAACTATTGGAAGGAATCGAGGCAAGAAGAAATCTTCCAAGAAGCCGAGAATTAAACCACCAAAGACAACACCCAAAAACAAACCGTGCAGGAAGCTGCCGAAGGAAAAAACACCTGAAAATAAAACAAGCGATACAACATCTAAAACAATCGAAAAAGACAAAGCGAAGGAGGAAGAGGAAGAAGAAAAAGAAGGTTACACAATTAAAACCTTAATTGACAATCTTCTTTTAAATAAATGCGAAAATGAAACATTAAATCAAATGAATTTGGAGAAATTTGATTTTGGAGACATGACAAGTAAGGATGAGTGTCACAAATTTCTCCCTTTTTATATTCGCTTACAAAAATACTTTGTCGATGAAAAAATTAAAGGCTTCATGCTTGTGCCTATTATGAAACCTGGTTTAAAGTACATCTGCTACACAAATACTGCACTGAGTGATTTAGAAATTGTTTTCAAGAAGAAGCAAAATAAAACTGGAGAAAAAACACCAACCAAGAAAATGACGAAAGCCGAAATTTCGAAACAAGAGGCAGATCACAAGAAACTCATCTCACCGGTAAAGGAAAAGAAGGAAAAATTGTCTAGTGATAAGAAAATTTTGACGAGAGATATAAAGTTAATAAAAAGTGAAAAAAATCCCCAGAATAAAAAAAGATTGGCCGAATTGGAATTAAAATTAAAAGTTTTAAATGAAGATTTGTCCATCATCAACAAAGAATTAAAAAACATTACAGAAATTCACAAAAAAGTCGTGACTGAGAGGAATCAAGATAAATATCTTGAAATTGAACGAAGGTGGGAAAGACTTTTCAATATCTCGAAATTACGCGTTAATAAAAAGAAGTATAAATTTTCAGGGACAATTATGACCGACGGGATTGCCGTTTCAGTAATTTATAATGTTATAAAACCAAAGAAAATAATTGATTTCTTGCCTACCGAACAAGGAGATGTGCGCGATAAAACTAAATATAAAATTTTAAAAGGACTAGACCCAGGATTAAAGCTTGCTTTCGGTGGCGTTGAAAGGGAAATGAAGCAAGACTTTGATATTAATTCTAAAGACAAACCGATTAAAATCCCCACAGCAACATTTCGTTTCCAAACTCAGGAATATAAACGGCGATCAGTTTTATATAAAGTGGGAAATGATCAGAAAAAGTATTACGAAACTTTATTAGAGACTCCCGAATTCAAAGACAAAGTAAATCATCGCGATCCATCACTTATTATTCCGTGTACTAAATTTTTATTAAGAACCTTTTACGATCAACAACCGAACATGGAGAAGAAGAAAATAGCTCGCCTCAAGTGGGACAAATACATGCTTGTCCAACGAGAAACTGATTATCTTGCCGATTATCTGGTAGGGAATAGAAAAGAAAAACAACTCATAGCGATAGGCAGTCCAAAATTTTCACCGTGGATGCGTGGTCATGTACGCATGCCATTAAGAAAAGTGGTACGAAGATTAGCCGAAGAGCAAGATAAATATAAAAATTTACGTCTTGTTTTTGTCGACGAATTCAACACCACTAAAATGTGCAGTACATGTAATCAGAAGATGAAAATAATGAAAAATAGAACTGCCTATTGCTCCAGTTGCAGAATAGCATGGAATAGAGACGTCAACGCTGGAAGAAACATTTTAAATTTAGCTCTAGTTCGACTCGGTATCCTTTCTTAAAAAAGACATGGAGTGGAAAGGTCGAATGTATCGAAAAGTATCGAAGTAAAGAATGGGCAATGAGAATGTAAAATCTTAATAGAAGGGTGTTTTTAAAATTGTTTGTACATGTGAAGGTGGCGCTGCAGTCGTATGTTATTTAAAAAGAGCGCGAATATATAAATTTTATTTTTGTTAAGAGAAAGTACTCATAATAAATCTTATTTTGCATTGTCAAAAAAACGTCAACATTTCAAATATAAATAAGCAAATTATTAACTGAAAAAATTTGAATATTATTATTAATGAAATAATGGACTTGGACAATGAACATATAAAAACTAGCACCGTAGACGGCCGCTTGCGGCCGTCTGAGGAGCTAGTAATTAAAAAAAACAGCTTCCCGACTCGACCAAATTCCGCGCGATCGCGGAAATAGAGTAATAATCTTCCGCGTTTACTTAAAAAATGGGGTAGATCTATCTACTATACAATAATTGGTTTCCTTCACTTGATGGGAAACCATGCCTTTGCACCTTTGCGTACACCACCAGATGAGCTATAACTTTACAAATGACATTACTGTAATTTTTAAATATTGATTTTGTTTAATGTTTCCGGCAAATGAATCACTATCTATTGATTTAAAGTTTCGAATCGAATTGCTTGACCAATCCACCGGAGGTATAGAAGCACCTTTAGTGTGAAATTCAATCTTTTTAGTGTAAAGTTATAGTCTTATTTTTAACGGTGTAACTAGGTTATAGTGTATTATTAAATCCCAGAACATCATTAACAATCGAGATTTTTTTACCTCATTACTTCATATGTTAAATCACTCTTACTTTATTCTTTCTCTTTTTTCTTCTTTTGAAAAAAACTTTCTCCTCTCAAAATAAAGAAATGCTCTAATTTCTTATTTCATTTTCATTTCAATTCTGACAATAGTAGAATTTCTATCATAATATATGATAATTAAATTTTCTATTATTATTATTACAAAATTCAATTCTATGTATTATCAAAATATAAAGTGAAATATTTGATTATTCTTTGGAGAAATTTGATTTTTATTTTTCATTTCTTTTTTTCCCCAGCACTAAATGCTTTATATATACCGATATACGAAACAAAAGAAAAATATGCAGTGCAGTGCAAGATCGATAGTTGAACGAAAACGACGAAGGGAATACTAACGAAATAATTCGCATGCAGAAAGTTAACTTCGCGCAGAGCCTCAATATGGAGTTATATAGTGATTTGTATATATATATTATACAATAAAGACTACGGGAGAGAAAAAATAAAAAAAAGTGTCCGTTCTGTATGGATACGTGACATTTCTTAGCAATCATTATTCTTTCATTTTTGCATTTCACTGTGAAAAAAGAAGTTTATTTTATTCAAATAAGCGATTTATACTTGTCTCTTACCAAAATATAAATATTTATATACACGAATAAAATAATTTTTTCTGTTTTTATTTTTTCTATAAAAATAATTTTTATTGAAATCAAATAAGTTGTAGTTGAACCAACATTTTAATAATAAGCAACTACAATTTAATTGACTTCAATAAAAATTTATTATTTAAATTTAATTTTTAATTAAATTAATATTAGGTAATTAATTTAAATTAAATATTAGATGTATAGAGTTTTAAAAATTTGTTTTATTATTAAATAACAATTAATAATTGTAAAAAACCAACCTTGAGGTAAGATCCAAAGTACTTGGTAACAAAGGGACTGTCACATTGTGACAGGACCATGATCTCCTGCTGAATGTCTTCGATTTCATCTTCAGCCTCCTCGAGATCGATGATTTTAATGGCAACAACTTGTTGTGTTCTATTGTCGATTCCTTTAAAAACTTCGCCAAAACTTCCCTTTCCAATTCGTTCTTGCTTCGTGAATATCAGTTCAGAATCCACCTTCTGCGTGACAGAACAAAAAAATATTTTTTATTATTTACATATAAAATACAAAAAATTAAGGTGATGTATTTTTATACAAATCGCGCATATTAAAATTTTTTTAAATTTTAATATTTATAAAAATAATTGAATTCTTACAAAGAATATGTTATTATTTATGAAAATTATTGAATTCTTGCAAAGAATTTTATTTAAATTTTTGAAATTAATATAAACAAGAATTATTAATTAGTAAATTAGTTAATAATTTAATTTTTTAATAGTTTTTTTTTTATTTTTATTTTTAAGAAATAAATAATAGGTAATAATAATAATTTTGTTATTATTATATACACATGATAATAAAATAAATAAAATAGTAACAGAAATAAATACTATTCCACTACTTTTTTAAAATTTCCTATGAAAATAATAATAATCATGGCAATGATCCTATCTTTATCTAATATATGTGGACGTCCATATGAAAAGGGCCCATTTTGGCACTATTGGAGTTATCTATATGGGCGTAATCCTGGCAAAATTTGGAGAATTTTGAGTGGTCTTAGAACTTTTTTGGTTGAAAATTCGCTGAGTTACGGAATTTCAAAGTTTAGAACGCCAAAAACCTCATTTCGAGAAAAACGGAATTAAAGATTGTGATACCAACTAATTGTTGTATCTCTGGTTCTTCTTGGAAGTTATTCAGATAAAAATTGTTTCTAGTTCAGGGCACCTTGAAGATAAAAAACCAACAGGTTTTAAATTTTTAGAACCACCCCCTCCCATTAATTAATTAATTCATTAATTTAAAAACCGACAATAGGGCCCTTTTCTAAAAAGGACAGTTTTTCTATTAAAAAACCATTTTTTTACAAGATAAATGATTAGGTACAATTTTATTGTGTCATTTGAAGAAAAAGAATAGATATTAAGCTTATTTAAAAATTTTTGACAGTCTCTATTATGAAAAAATTGACGCAATATTAAAATTTTCATTTCGACAATTACGAAAAAAAGATTCTAACATCAATATCTCTGGTTCTTCTGGAAAATTATTCAGATAAGAATTGTTTACAGTCCACGGTACCTAAAAGATGAAAAACCAATAAGTTTTAAATTTTTAAAACCTTCCCCCCTCTTAATTTTGAAAAATTTCATACTTAAGTACGAGAAACCGACAATATGGGCCCTTTTCTAAAAAGGACAGTTTTTCTATTAAAAAACCATTTTTTTACAGGATTAATGATTAGGTACAATTTTATTGTGTCATTTGAAGAAAAAGAATAAATATTAAACTTATTTAAAAATTTTTGACAGTCGCTATTATGAAAAAATTGACGAAATATACAAATTTTCATTTCGATAATTACGAAAAAAAGACTCTAGCATCAATATCTCTGGTTCTTCTGAGAAGTTATTCAGATAAGAATTGTTTACAGTCCAGGACACCTTAGAGATGAAAAATCAAGAGGTTTTAAATTTTTCTACACCTCCATTTTTAAAATACGTATTACTTTTGCAAATGACCGACAAAATGGGCCCTTTTCATTTTTCTAAAGAACCAATGAAATCAAACAGTTAAATTATCTATAAATTAATGAAAACTGCATGATTCGACTTGTCAAAACATGTAGATTGATAAGAAAAAATAAAAAAAAAATTAAGATTTTGCTCCAAAACTACTAAATTGCGATTATCTCGAAAACTGGAACCGACAATATGGGCCCTTTTTATGTGGACGTCCACATATAAAGGGTATTGACAGGTGGACAACATTTTTGAGTGACGGATATAGATTATTTATTATTGCGTTCAATTTCCTTTCAATATAGAAGTCATTATCATTAATTATTTAGTGACATTTCCAAATATTCTCTCGTGACAGTCATATGTTTATTCACTTTCACTTTATATTTATTATTTATTTTCTAATTCGTTATTTATTATTAGCATTCAAATATCAAAAATGCAATCAACTTGACAGGAAATAATAAAAAAAATGTTAAATAAATTACACATTTTTACATATTAAAGAAACTATATTTTATTAAGTAGATTAAAATTGTAGATTTTATTGAACCAAATTCCCCTTTTAAATAATTAATATATTCCTATTTATTTTAAAAAAGAAAATACCTATAGAAACTATATTGAAAAATAGTTACAAGTTAATATAAACAAATTTATTAATTCAGTTCATAATTTTATTTATGTTTTCAGTAAATTTACAAGTATCAAATCTAATTTGTTTTTAATATAAATAAAATTAATAAAATGAAAAAAAAGTGAAATTTTAATTGCGAGGAGAATATTAAAATATCAGTGAAAGGTAGATGATATACTTAAAATAATTACAATATGCAACCGCAATGAAATCTGTAAGGCAGATTATTCTTGTTTGAGAGAAAATGTCTGTTATCTGAGGATTATCTTTCCACAGTGTTGTCGTTAATGAATGGTCCATAAAACTAGTTTTTTTTAAAAAGAAAAGGAAAAAAACTTCACTTTAACACTTTACTTTTGTGATTTTCCTCATGGGTCTCTATGCAGATAACGCCTCTAGATAATATCCTAAAGTTAGTTTTGTTTTCTTTTCATTTTTACGACTCATAAAACTTCAATTATTACGAATTTTCCAGAAAAGTTAAATTTTACACTAAAGTGTGTAATCTCGCTCCCAATTTAAATGTAAATGAAATAAAATATTTATAAGTTTTTAATATTATAGTGTAAAACAAAAGAATATAACAATTATCATCCTAAAGTTCTTAAAAATTCTTTATTTATTTCCCTTTCAAATTAAATTTTTATTGCAATAACAACTTTGATATTTTCAAATAGGTATTTTTTTGTGCTCCAATATTTTTAAAATTTACAATACTAAAATGACAAAAAAACCTAACTGAAAATTTATTTAATGAAAATTATTTAATTATAAAAAGAAAATATTTTGTACAGTTCAAATTATCGAAAGTAATAAAAATATTGTCATTAATGTGAACGTTCGAAACTATTTAGAAACATTCTTCTCAAAATATTTCGTCAATGACGATCAATAAAAATTTACTGACTCATATTGCTCGTAAAAAATAATAGAAAAAAAGAAATATGAAACAAAAATATAGAATATTAGATACTTTCTACAATGAGAAAATATGAGAAAATTTTAATAATCAATAATCCGACCTTGGTGTGTGGGCCTTGTTTTCAATCTTTTCAATCTTACGTCAAAAGAAAAAAATTTTCTTTTTTTCTGTTTTTAATGAAATGCACAAGACGAGTCTCTTACGGTCTTTCTCGATCCTGTTATACCGGTACTCTTCTTGACTCTTTGACTATAGATTCGCGAGAGGAAAAATGCATTCGCGTTCTCAGCTCATATCGTGATCAAAAGTTATGAATAATCATGAGCATTTCGAAACAAGGAATTATTAATATAATTTTCATGACGGAATCTTCAATTTTATGTTAAGAAATATTCATCATGGAAGAAAATTCTAAAGTGCGACAAAACGATACAACAAATATTCCAATATATTTATATATTCAATTGAATTTCATTTTAAATCCAACTCTCATGTTCCTGTACCCAGAAATAATTAAATATATTCATTCAAAATTCAATTATTTTTAAAAATTCATGCTATATAATGCTTTTAATATTAAATTATGATCTAAAATTTTAACCGAAATTCATTTTCAAATCAATTTTTATGAGAAAATTCTATGTACGAGAATTCAATTATTTAAATACAAAAATAAATAATAATAAAATTAGTATAAAATAAACTAAAATCTTATGAATTCTAAAAAGTTCCCTGACCTACATTATATTAGGTTTAAATAACTGTTTTCTTTGTGTGCAAACTTTTTTATGTTTAATTAGTAAATTTTACAAATAAATAGTAATTTCTACTAATTTTTTTGGAAAAACTTACTAAAGTTAGTTACTACTCTCTGAATTTGAATTAGTAAAAATGTTTACTAATTAAAATTAGTAACTGACTTTTTGCTTTTGAATTAGTAAATTTTACTAAAAAATTAGTAGAAATAACTATTTATTATTGAAATTTACTAATTTAAAAGCAAAAAGTCAGTCACTAATTCAAGTTGGTAAACATTTTTGCTAATTCAAATTTAGAGAGTGTGTATATAAAATACACACGGAAAAAAAAAGTTCACGAATCTCTCGTGAACTAGTATATCACTTTTGGATGGGACACAAAATTCTTGAAAATCAACAAACACAGTTCGTCAAAATTTCATCAACTCCTTCACTAGAAACATAGTACGGTTTCCGAACTTTTCGTCAAAGTTAACGAAAAATTCGTGAACTTTTAAAAAATGCTAAAAACAAGAAAAAATAATTTCCAGACACTACTTTTTTATAGTATTTCACTTTATTTGATAACTTGACGCCTATTACGCACCCAACTACACAGAATACACAATTTTATCGCCATTAAAATTCGTAATTCGCTTCACGGGATTCGAACCTAGTACCTATACCCTATAACATAATATTTCTAACAACTAACCGCCACGGCTAAATCTAGATACACTGTCCTTCGACAAACGAAACGATTAGCTTTGTCTGCTGTAAAACTCAGGACCGTGCAAAGTAGAAATCGTAACCCTTATCGTAACTTTTAATTCATTTTATGAATTATTTGTTTCACAAAGGAAATTAGCAAACAAAAATATTCACTAAGTAATAAAAAACACTGATTCTAAATAATAACTTTCATCAAAGAATTTTCCCGAATGTAAACACCGATGACACCGACTGAATGATGAATGCTTGATCAGCCATATTTGATGCGCATTACGAACTGCGCATACTACTGACACTCGCGAGTTCACGATTTTTTCGTGAACTTGTACCTCTACTTTTGACGAACTACTCTTCCTTAACAGTTCATCAAAAATTCATTAACTTTGTTTCAGTTTTTCGTTGACGTTCGCCATTTCTAATCAAAAGTGAATGAAAATTTTGAAATTTTGTGTCCCATCCAAAA